AATATTAAAATATAATTTTATTAGAATAAGACTAATATAAAACAATAGTTTCTATTCTTGTTATTCTGATAAGAAAAATTTTATTAATTTTTTTTTGAAGAATTGATATTGTTAGTTTTCTTAATTTGCAATCCTCTAATAGTCTTTTATCTTCAATTTATAGATCATTTGCAGTATTAATTTCGTGGTTTGATCGATTTTAGCAGTTCACTACTTACGAAAAATATAATAAGCTCATATAGCTGCAGTAGTATAATATCGAGTAAGCTGCTTTGTATAGAATATTTTTTGTTTCAGTAGCATATTTTCTAATATGTTACTCAAATAATAGATATACTATAATAATGCTTTTCTATTTTCTATTCTTTTGAATTGATAAAGAAATTGATAAGTAATTATGATTTAGATTTGGTAGTTTTGTAATAAATCATAAGAAGTGGCAATATTACTAATTAGATTGTTATTGTTAGAAATTAATAGTTTAGCCATGACCTTTTCGTATAGATTTTCCATTAGTACTAAATATTTGTTGTATGTGAAAATGTCTCTAATTTTATAAATACAGCTTTCAATATCGAAATAAAATTGATTTTGGATGCTAAAGAAATAAAGAAGTTTTATTTATTTATTTTTTGAACTATTCAATTATTATTAGTAATCTTTTATCTTATTATCACATAATTTGTATGTATTGTTAGGAATATAAATATATATCTAAATTACTCTCTCTTAATAATTTATAGCAATATGTCTGCAAAAATTCATAGTTGGCAAATTAATTGCAACTGAAATTCAAATTTTTAATACATTATACATATAGTTATTTTTTAATTACTTTTTCTAAAATATTTAGATACAAGAAAAGCTATCGCTAATATAAATAGACTTAACTATTTGGGGTAAGGTTTATTATTTTTAGAATATATTTTATAATTAAATGCAGTCTCTTTTTAAAGATCAGAAATTAATTTTACTAATAGATTATATCTTTTTCTTGTATTAACTAATTTCTATTTATTGAATCATTAATAGTTTTAATTTAATTAATTGCTACCAAATTCAAATATTCAATGCATTGAACATATAAGTGCTGCAAAGAGAAAATCTACCATTGGGTCTTCTATTAGTAGCACTCATATAGTTACTTTGTTAATTATTTTTTCAAATATTTAGACACAAAAAGGCTATTGCTAACATAAACTGGACTTAGCTATTTGGAGTAAAGTTTATAGCTTCTAAAATGCATCTGATAATTAAATATGGTATCTCTTTTTAAAGGTCAGGAATTAACTTTACTAGTTGATCATATCTTTTTCATGCATTTACTAATTTTTATTTATTAAATCGTTAATATTTTTAATTTAAGAATATGCTAATTATATGCTTCGAGGCAATTTCTCTTCTAGTTATTGGTATTGCTTTTTTTCTATATTTATTTTTAGTCTGTTAATTTATTTACTTATTTATTTATTTTTATATTTTATTTTATATATTTAATATAGATGTTATTTCATAGCAAAAATAAGCTAGATATAATATATTGTTTGAAATTAAATAATTTTATTATATATTTTATTAATATATTTATTATAATATGCTTAAAATCTATTCTGTTTTCTTATATCCATATTTGATGGTATTTTAGATATTTCCAATATGTTGTTACTATTTACAGTATTAATTCTTGCATCTTTTGCTCTCTTCATTTGAATAGCTTGCCTAAGGGTTAATCTTAAACTATAGGTATTTTAGCTTCTCTTTCCTTTCTATTCTTTAGCAATTGATATGAGTTCTTTCTGCAATTTTGTAAATTCGAAATTTTCATCGCTTAAAGGTATAATAGAGTTAAGAGAATTAGGTGATTTCTTCATAATAGGACTTTCAGTTTGCTGTGCAAGATAATTATAATCATAGTTACTTTTTTTAACACTATCAGTATTAATGCGAAGCTTATTAAATATAGCAAAAATATATTTGTATAGCAATTGTCATGTTTTAAAATCACAGCAATTGCATATATATGAGGATATATCTAAATTATCTTTATTTCTAATCACAGAATCTTTTCTTTAGGCAGAATATTCTATATCATCATTTGTTATAGAGTGTATAATCCAAACATCAGATCTAATATTATAAATATTGTTTGAATTAATTTTTGTTATTTCTATAACTTCACAAATTCATTGCTAACATTTTTGTAGATTCATTCATCTAACTTTTAATTCATCTATAAAAGCTGAAAATTCCAAATCTTGAAATACAATTTCTACAAGCAGAAATACTTTTTTATCAAATCACCACTCTGGTCTCCCTCTCATATAAATATATTTTAGTTTATGAAGGAATGCTTTAATTAAATTATTAGTATCAATCATATCTCTAGAAATCCCTCTTAAGCATACTATTTATTTGTCATATTTTGGTTTTCATCAATACTCAAAGTAATTAGCAAAGATATTTACTGTTTTAATATTAAATTGTTACTACTTGCTAATAGTTTTATCAACTTGTTTTCTTGCCTCAGTATTATCTCACCCTTCTGTCTTCATTAAGTACTAGAGGTCTTTCCAAATAGCTGTTTTATATTTATCAGTATTTTTACTAAAATTATAATTTAACTTTCTACACTAGGATCTTAATACGTAAAAATAGTATAACAATACTATGCTATTAGAAAAACTCTCTTTAACTACTTTTATTTCTTTACTCACATTATCAATTATAAAGATATCTGGATTCTATTTATTATTTTTAAGTTTTAAAAAATCAAACTATTTTTTAAATATTATTGATTTTTTATATTTACTAATTAGAAATGCTATTGGATATCTGCTTCTGGCTATAAAATATTGTATAATAAATATAAAAAGTTAATAGCTATACTTATTTATTCCATGTATACTATCCAAGTATATTACTTGAGAATATGATATTAACTCTTTTTATATTTTTGTTTGAAAGGCAAACAGGAACCCTGTATTAGTTTTATTTATAGAAGGTTCTGAGTTGTTGTATTCAAATAAGTAATATTCACTCGTACTAACTATTTTATTTTTCCATTTATCTAAGGACTTTATTTTATCTTTATCAAAATAAGTATATGTTTTTATTACATCATACACTATTGCATATATATCTTCTTTGGTTACTAATCTGTCTCACAAATGTTGAATATTTTGTACAAATTTATTTTGCTGTTTTCTTTCTAATAACTGAATTTGGTTTTAAAGCTCAATTACTTGAGAATACAAAAGCTACTTAATACTGAAAGCATCGAGCCCTTCAAGTACATGCTGACGAATAAACTTCCTAATATTTTCAGAAAGAGGAAGGATATATAAATCTGATAGTTGATCAGGATAGTAGTTAATATGTTTATAATAATGATGTAAAACTACTGTTGTTGAATCTACAGGAAGTATGATATTGATATAACTCTTGTAACCATATTTTTTTGTTTTCTTTGTACTAATCATGACTTTTTCATAGTATTTTTTCTAGCAGTACTTTCATATGTACTGTATCAATGATAATATCACCTCTCTGACTATTAATTTTTTTTCTTTATACCAATTTGTGCTTGATGGTCATGTTTATTATAACTAAGCTCTGCTTTCTTAAGATTTTTAATCTATTCTACATATTCTTCAAGTAGGAGATTATAGGTTTTAGATCTTTCTGTTTCTGATAACCTTTCTTCTGTTGTATTATCATCATCTACTATCTTCTGTATTTGGCTAATACCATCTGTTGCATCAAATATTCTGTTAAACATATCATCAAGTTTATTGTCACTACTATCACTAATATTTATATCTTCTTCTTAAATATTAAAAATTGCATTGATACTTAATAGTAATATCATATTAACAGGTACATAGCAAAAAAAAAACTAAAATAGCTTAATAATTGATAATATTTATGATAGATTATGAATATTTTAGGTTAATTTTTTTGAGTGAGGACAAGAGAAGAATATTATATGATCATGATCAAATAAAAAATTAATGGATAAAGAGAAGTATTGTTTATACTTTTATTTATTGAATAGTTTAAAAAATGCAATACAAATAAATAATTTATTATTAAACAAATAGAAAGAAACTGAAGATTTTATTTTACAACTTAAACAAAAAACGAAAACCTAATTCAAACTCTACGTAAGAAGAAAATTACAGAAGACAAGAGAAATAAGGAAGTAAAGCAGAACTCAGAAATTACTTTTTCAGATAAGTGTACTAATAGAATATCAGTATGGGATCTTCTGACTTGGACAAAAAGACCTCAAGTCTTTGAGTCAGTACGGCATTTTGGAAGATCAGATTTATAGAAATAATTAGAGAAACATATGGAAAAACAAGAGCTAAGATAGAATTCGAACTAAGATCGTTAAATATTGAAGAGATAGAAAAGACCTAGTGTATTTTATTTGTAGAAGAGTACTTGGTAAGAATCACTCTGGGATTAAGTAATTTTGAAAAACTCAAGACATGAAGCAGGTACTCTAGAAGATTACTTGACTTACCAGAATATACTAATGAGGTATTTCTCTAGAGACAAGTCAAATAAACAGGAGCCAAATCTTTGCATATATTTAAAAATACTAATGGAAACAATATAAGAAGTGCAACTGTTTATTTTTTAAATGAGAAAGATTTACTTAACAGCTCAAGATATACAACATACTACTATAATGAAAAACTAAAATGAGCACTTTTAAAAGAAGACAACTGGGAAACCAAACAGATGCATGAAGTACAAGAAGGAATACAAGAAGGTACTGAGAGAAGAAGTAGAAAAAGTTTAGGAAAAATGAAAGAAACAGAGCCAGATCCAGTAGAAGAAAGTTTGAAACATGCACAAAAAAGATTCTAATTCAAGGAGAGAAAAGAAGAAATTTGAGAAGGCTGAGCAAGTAAAGAGTTACAAGGAAACAGATAGAGAAAGCACGAAACTCTAAGAATAGAAAGAAGTAGTGACAATAAAAGTAGTGATAGTACAGAAGAAAGAAAATACAAAGGAGCCCAAAGTGTTAAGATAGTAAAAGAGAGAAGAAGTTATTATGCAGAGAGGAAACCAAGCTACAAAAAAAGAAAAACTAAGATGAGTAGTCTCAGAGATCTACTTGAAAACCTCTTAGCTCTAACTGAAGAGGAAGACTCAAGATCTAGCTCAGAAGGCAGCTATTGAGACTTTAGAGTTCCAAATCACTCCTAAATAGTCATACTAGTTAAATTACAGAGAGCCCAGATTTCTTAAGAAGGAAAACTTAGAAATCAGAAAAGGGCAAGAGAGTTAGAAAACCAGTTCAACTCAAATGAAAATGAAGGCTTTAGAACTTTAAAGTTGGGCACACATAACATCAACGGTCTTAAAGCAAGTAGTCACAAGCTCAACTTGATACTAGAATGGGCAAAAGAAGAAAATGTTAATATTCTAGGAATTTGCAAAATGAATATTTCAGAGCTACAAGGCAGATTCCTAATCCTAAAAGATAGTGGATATATAGGGTTTTGGACAAATGCAAATGAAAACAAGTTAAAAGGTTCAGGAGTAGGGATAGTAGTCAAAAAGAATTGGGAAAAACATAT